TCATGGCTGCCCCCGGCCCGTCCGCCCCCAAAGCGAGCTTCGGGATCACCCCGCAGGTCCCCTCACCCCCTGCCTCAGGATTTACGTCGCTCCCCTGCCTTCTCCCTCGGGCTCCCATACTCGCTGAAGAAAGTCCTGGTTTTGCAGCCTGTAGGGCAACAGGACATCTCATCCCCTGGGGCTGGGGCAGGCGTGTACTTGCGGGTCCTGCCGCTCAGGGAGTCTGAGCGAGACACAGAGCAAGCTGAGGGTCACAGGGGTTGAGGGGGTTGAGAAGTATAAATTGCCAGTTATGAAAAACAGTCACGGGGATGTAAAGTACAGCACAGGGAGTACAGTCAGCAATATTGTCATAGCCGTGGGTGGTGGTCGGCGGCTACTGGAGTTATGGGGAGGTCATTCTGTAAGGTGTATAGATGTCTAATCACCATGCTGTACGTCTGAAACAAACGAATGTAATGTTGTGTGCCAACTAGAACTGAAAATAAGTTTGAACAATAATCTAAAAAAAGATCACAAAACAGAAGAATTCTCAGGCCCCTCTGGAGGCTGGACTAACACTCTGCTCTTCTCGCTCTGCAGGTGACAAGCCCTGGACCGGGCTACCTGAAGGAAGAGCGAAACCCGGGCACCTGGTGTGTGACGGCAGCCGAGAGAGGCAGACACACGAGGGCAGGCAGCATCCCTTGTTCCCGCTTTGCGCCTGCCCCCCTGTCCCTGTGAGGCCTGGCAGACACAGGACCGAGCAGCAGCTGGCGCCGAGCTTCTGGAAGTTGTCTGCTTGTGGAGACTCACTCAGGAGACCGAGGTGCTGCCTTCCGCAGAGTGTCCATGTTCTTCCACACGGGCTCTGCGGACGGGGTCGCTGCTCCCTCTCGGGAACAGGCCGTCAGGGCCCGTCAGGACCAGCCAGGCGGTGGTCGGCCAGCCTCCGGCCAGCGGCTCCCCGTGGAGGCTTCCAGCTTCGTTAGCCGACAGCACTCATCCCGGGCGCACCCAACAGCTGGAAACTGTTTCACGACGGCACCTTGCCAGCCCCAGAAGCCGAACCCCAACTCCATCGCCAGAGAGCTTTCAGGGGCCAGCGGAGAAAGCTGTGCTCCCGGGCGAGGAACTCACAAGTGAAATCTGAGAACCTTCTGGGAGTCGCTTCAACATACGCCCACTGCCTCCGGCAATGAGGGCTCTGCCACAGCGGTCAGGCAGGGCTGGCCGAGACACAGCCGGGGGCTCTTTAACATCGGCAAGAAGGTTTGAGCTTGTCCCTCCAGGAGGAACGTCTTTACATCCACCCCGGAAGTGGTTTTTGGTCTTTGAAAGGCGCTAGGAAATAATCAGGTGTCAGAGCTCCAGAGCCCTGCAGGCCAGCCTCCTCTGCACCCCGGAACGTGCAGGCCCACGGAGGGGACCACCGTGGTGCGGCCCACCCGGCAGTCGGGGCAGCAGGGTGCCCTCACCCAGGCCACCCCCACCCCCGCCATTTCCACCCTTGCTGCTGGTCACATTCCTTACGAGCGAAGGTGCCAGCTCATGGCCCCAAAGCCCAGGCTCCCTCAGGGGAGCCCCGTGACGATCTGGGAGCAGGGCTCGGCTTTCCCCTAAGGAACGCAGAACGCTGCTATCCCCAGTGTCCCCTCCCTTCTGTTGCAAAGAGCATGAAGCGGACACTCCTCTTTGGGGCCGTGGGAAAGGTGCCATTCCCACACGCTGCGATGCGTGACTCCAGCAGTCAGCCGAGGACGAGAATGGGCCCGTTGTTCTCTGCAGGTCACGCCTGGCCCAGGCAGGGTGCCCGATACGAGGGCACCACGGGCATTGATTCTGAGCATGCCGTTCCCGTCCCCCCGGGCCACTCCAGCACACCTGTGCCGAGAGACCAGGCAAAGGGCCAGCGCGCTCCCTTTCGGATCCCCCTGTGGTCCAAGTCGCACTCACACAAAGCGCTCTGCCTGGAGCGAAGGGTCAGGGATGGTCAGGTTTGTCCCCGAGCCAGTTCGGAGGGTGGCGTGGGATTGACTTGGGCCCCTTTCTCAGTGCGGGACAGTATCTGCTTGTTTCTGGACACAGCTGCAGCCCTGCTCAGGGGAGGCCCTGGGGACATGGGCACGGACGCGGAGCTGGACACTCCTCAAGCCCCATCTAAGCACCTGTGTGCCACACGGGGCCTGAAGGCAAAGGTGTTTCTCCAGGTGGCATTATATTCTGAAAGGGCAGTCTGGCGTCTTGTTTTAAATAACTTCCTGTCTTGAGGTTTATCCCCACAGATTTCCAGATCACCTTCTGTACGAGGAGAAGGAAAAACAGATAGGTGGCTTTAATAAACCGGAAGTTTAGGGAAATGGAAGTTTAAGTCTCTCCCACATAAAAATAAATTTGTGGTCTGAGGCTGTATCAGTTCTCCACAGGGTAGGAGCCTAGGGTCTTTCTGTTTGCTTTGCCATGTTCAGTGTTTGGCTCCCACTACGTGGCCAAAGTTAGCTGCTGCAGAGCCAGCCATTGTATCCATATTCCAGCCAGCAGGAAGGAGGGAGGAGGGAGGAAAGGCTTCAGGCGTTCCCTTAGGGACAGTTTCTGGAATTCACACACTCTACATCTGCTGCGTTGGCCAGCACTTAATTCCAAGGTGCAGCTGATGTGACAGACTGGAGAAGGCAGCCTTCATTCTAGGTGGCATGTGCCCAGATAAAGACCAGGGGTTCTTTTACTGAATAAGGAGGGAAAAATGGATATGGGAGGACTTAACTATCTCTGCCCCACCTTCCTCTTGCATAAGTAACATGGGGTGGGGGTCATAACACAAGGCATCGTGTTTAGGATTTCAGTGTGTGTTATCACCGAGACTTCAAGCATACACTGATGAAGGTGAAATAACTTAGAGGTCAGCCAGTCCGCATCCTCCTCTTTCAGACTAGGAAACAGGCCTAGAGAGGTTAATCAAATCAGCTGAGATCACATCGCAAGCTGGTAGCATCTAACTCCCAGCTCCTATTTGGTGGAAGTATTTTCATTTTTCTCTGTTTATTAAGAAAAGAAAGCTTCATTGTGGACGGACAGGAGCTCAAGCACGGAGGATGAAATTCCAGCCATCAAGGGTCTCTGAGCCGCAGGGCACAGGCAGGGCAGCGACAGTGCGTGCATCCCCGTCTGCCCAGCCCTGAGTCACGGGGGCTGGAGCGTGCCTGCGCTGGCACTGCCTGTGTGTGCATGCGTCCCTGCCCTGCGTATCTGCCCACACTGACTCCAGCCCAGGGAGGCCCGAGGCAGGTTTGACTCGGTGTGCTTCTGTTTCAGGGAGCACCCAGCCAGGATGGGAGCCGCTGGCAGGCAGGACTTCTTCAAGGTGATACTGATGAGCAGCTGGCTCCTCCTGTCCCGCGTCCCTGGGGCCACGTCTACAGGTGAGCCAGGCAGAGCAGTTGGAGCAAGGCTGCAGGGGGCTGGGGGCATAGCCGGGGGCTCTTTAACATCAGAGGAGGAGGTGCCACGGGGCCAGGGCAGGGTGGCGGGGCCCTGGCCAGTTTCTGCTAACTCCTTGATCCTAGGCATGCCTCGTCCTGGGCTTCAGGCTTGTCACCCACAAAATGAAGCGGCTAGACAAGACTCGGGGGTTACAGACTTGGTGTCTAGAGAAGCCAAGCATGTAACATAAACCCATGAAGCTGGCCACGTAGGGACTGTGGTCACCTGGGAAGTTCAGGCTCCTCTAAAGAGACACCCACTTCTGGCCAGTTGCTGCCTCGACTGAAAGTGAGGTCCTCGTTGCAGGATCTTGTGAATTTTTAAGAGAAATTGGAAATCTAGATTTTTATGTAAAAGCTCTCTTTTAAATGTTGGCAACCAAATCAAATTTCACAAACCACTCTGGAGCCGGAGAAGAACACACACCTGCAAGCCGGCTTGCCAGCGCTGGGCCACCTGCTCTGCGTTCCCGTCGCTGGCCGCTGCCCGGTCAGTGCGTCACGTGCGTGCGCTCCAGGCGAGGTTCGCGTCTCCTTGTTTGATCTCGGCTTTTCCTCTGAGTGGTTTTGAATCGCCATCTAGAAGCGCAAGGCCAGCTTGCCTGGATGCAGAAACAGCAGTCCAGTAAATCAAACTGGGGACGGAGGGCGGGAGACGGAGGACCGCGTCACGTTCTCGGCCGGAGCTTTAGGAGCGATGCCGTCGGCGTCACCTGCTCTTTTCTCGGTGCTTTCGTCAGTTGAGCAGGATGTTTTTCTACAGCAAGAATTAGAGGCCTCACCTTGTATTCCATTTTGTTTTCCTGAACATGGAAGGAAGTAACGTCTGACTGTAACTAGTGACATCCCGTCACTGTGATTCCTTGTAGAACCTTTCCGACCTTTCGGGGACGGCGCAAGCCATTCGTATTTTAGCTGTCGACGCAACGATTGATGACGTTGCATGGATCCATTCATTGATCCTTCAGTCGTTTATTCAGTTAGTAAACGTTGAGGGACATCGACTCTGTGCCAGGAACCGGGTGTGGCTTTCTGTTTTAGGGTGGTCCATGGCAGGGCCTTGGGGGGAGTCTCATCAGTGCCCCCTGGGTGTCTCCCCCACACGCTGGGTCTCTCTTCTGTCTGAGCACAGAACACTTGGAAAGGAGGCCGTGCCCCTGGTCTGTGCTTTTCTCTGACATCACAGGGATGCAGAAGCCAACCCTGGCCACTCGTGGTCCACGTAGGTCGGGCTTTTATTCACCTCCATCCCGCTTCCTGCGGCCCCTCCTGGAAACGGGGTTGCCGTGGTGACAGTTCAGTGAAGGCATTGACCATGTCCAGCCACTCACTGGTTCATACAAACGAGAACCCTCTGACACTGACCTTTACCGAGAGCAGACTCTCCAGCTCCAGCAGAGGCGCCTTCGTGTGAGGCTGGTCTTGTGGGGTTGGCACTGTTGGAGCTACGAGATGCGTTCTGGTGACAGGAGGGCTGCGGGGTCGGGCAGCCGCCTGCAGCCCGGACACGGAGTCACGCAGGTGCGCACACGGCATGCAGAGGGGCGGCCAGCACTGTCCTGGGGTGCGGCAGTGAGACCCCCGGCTTCGTCCTGTGGGGTTGGGATGATTCCTCCTCAGCCTGCTTGTGGCTCCGAGCCTGGACCACTGGGCTCGCCACTCAGCCACGTGTGTTCCCCACACGACTGTGGATCACCTCCGTGGAACAAACACTCATGGCCCGGGACTGGGCGGAGGCACTCGCCCCGCCTGAGGACAGACGCAGGGGCGGGCACTGATCTCGGAGGCCACGCAGCGGGTGGAGGCTCCGGAGCCCCCGCTCGCAC